TTTTTGCCGTAAATTGCTTCGGAGAGCTCTTCTCTGGGCCTACTATCGAGCAACAGCAATACTATCGAGCAATGAATTGGCGACTTGACCTCTTCATCACAGTCCGATTGAAACTTTTTAGGCACGCAAAATCAATTTCAAGAGTAGTCCAGTATTTCTGCTTGCTATCATTTACGCTGATTGTGTGTAGCATTCAGCGATATTGCTAGGTACAGCGCTTTGCGAACATCCCAAAATATGGATTTTTTGTGAATAGTGTAGTGGGTTTCACAATCCCTATCTCAATGGAACGCTTGTACAGGCGAATTAGTCATTTACAGTGAGAGATGAAATTTTGAGTTTGCTCAGCTACGATCGACATATTTGTATTGCTTAGGCGGGTATTATGGATGCGGATCTACAAGCGCGAACTTCAGCGAGGAATGCCTATCAGTTGTTGGATCAGCACTATCCACAGCAAGCACAGCTTCTGTACCAGGTTAGCAGTCATTTTACTCATTTTCTCGTTCTCTTTCTAAGAGATACTTCCAGAGTCTGGATCCGTCAAAGCAGCGTGCTTTATCTGGTGTGATGTCAGCAGCTTCGTCATCACAATCTATCAACAGCGAGCGTGATTCACTGCACATGAGCCAAAGACCGGGCGCGTTCGGAATGAATCGACCGAAAAGTCAGTCACCGCGTTCCAAGGAGGAGAGGGGATTCCATTACCTTTAACTATTCAGCCACGAACTTTTTTGCTGGTCGTTCGGCTTCGGAAATCGATGCAAATGCGGTTCGACGAGCAGCAGCGTTCACTCCAGCAAAGAGCAAGCTCACAGGATCAGTGGCAGCGAGAAATAGTCCAGGTTTGTTATCAGATTTGCTCACTTATCTCTTCAGTGTGCATTTCACTTGTTGAAATCTTAGAGATGGATTGAATTTTCTGTTTAATTCTCTATACTAGACGACTGAATCCTCTGCAGAGTGGGGAAAGGTTGCGGAGATCCTGGGTAGCGGTTAGCGTATTAGCCTTAGGTGGGAGGTGGGGAGGGGGTCATAATTTCTGGAGTCGGCAACTGGAGTGGTGTTGTAAGTGCCACTCGCTCAGTGTCATTGCAACATCTCGAAGTATAGGGAATTTTCAGGGAAAGAGTGAAGTGAGCACTGAATGAAAAAGTGGTTCTTCGCTCACCATTACCTCTGCAATCATTCACCTCTGCAATCTTCACTGTCCATGAGGAACTTAGTTGCTTTCGACTGTCTTCCTCCTTTGTTATACGTTTACTTCTTGCTTCTCCCTCTTTGTCTACGTGCCTTACTCTTAATCCTTTGTTTCGTGCACTCTTTTAGGCCTTTCTTAAACTGCCGATGTGAAGGTTGCGAACATCTGCCATTGAGCGATAAGCTTCTGTTCAAGGCAACTGGCGTTCGTTGCGTGCCCGGACAATACTTTCATTACCCTTCGTGTCCATCCTCACAGCTGTGATTCGATCGTTGGTCCTGTTCACAGCCGAATGCTCAGTGATCACATCAGAGGTGATCTCGGTAAGGCCGCACGCATAGTCGGTCGGACGACAGCAACGACCGCAAGTGTCGCATAAACCGCGGTCGCAAATGGAAGGCGACGCGGTCACCCAATGCAAACCCAGACAACACGTGACTGCGCGTGATCGTATTTCGAAAGTCCCACTGTAGTGTGGAATAGTAGCTGCGTATTGATCTGCGACACTTACGATCGTTGCTCGTCCGACAGCAGCGGTCGTAAGTGTCGCACTTCTGACAGATCGATACGCACCTAATGCTGTGCGACACTTGCGATCGTTGCTGTCGGACGACCGACTATGCGTGCGGCCTAAAGTCATCCCTGCCACAATGGCGAATGGAGAAAGGAATCGAAGGAAATCTACGACATGGGATGTCCATGCTACAGGAGATTTTATGAAAGAAGCCAACCCAGAAGTGATGTGCACCACCTTCAGAATCTTGTAAACAAGGAGTGTATAAGTCCGAAATTGCAACACATGGAAATCCACAACTTCCTTACAACCACCTTACACCGCCAGTTATCCCAGGCAACTTTTTTGACAGATCCTCGACGAACATGTTATCGAAGTAGAAAGGAACTGAGCAGTGTTCGAAAAAGGCTACCACAATTTGGAAACCAGGAGTTGATTACTCTCAGCTTCCACCTTCCGTTTTTGAATTTTGAACTGCCAGTGCGGGATGTTAATGTTTCAAGCAGGGAGTAAATTTGGTGATTCCCCGAATTGGTGTTATTTCGGTTCACAATTTCGCGCTTCCTTCAAAGTCCGGTCGGAGGACGCATGCAAAGTCGGTCGTCCGACGGCAACGTAACTGTCGCACAGCATTAGATGCGTATCGACCGTTACAAGTGCGACGCTTACGACTAGTGCGTGTTGTCTGGGTTTGCATTGGGTGCCCGCGTCGCCTCCCCTATGCGACCGCGGTTTATGCGAAACTTGCGATAGTTAGGCCGATGTCATAGTTTGCGAATCGAGCGATTCGCTAGCGAATCGCTGGATCCGAGCGTTGCGCCAGCGAATCGAACGTTGCACCAGCGAATCGAACGATGCACCAGCGAGTCGAACGATGTACCAGCGACTCAACACTGTTTGAAAGTGGCGGGACCCAACGTTTAAAGGAAGTCCCGCCACTTTCAAACAGTGTCGAGTCGCTGGTACGTCGTTCACTCGCTGGCAGGGTGAATATCGCTTGAGGATTCCTCAACGGCACGTCGAGGATTCTCTGCCCGATCAGAGACGATCTCTCGCGCGGACATTCACACTCGCCATGCGTGCCGTCTGTGCTCTCCGCG